CCTTGTGAAGATAAAGCGGATCGGAAAATGAATGAATGAATGAATGAATATATCAATGTGTCAAACTCAAGGCCCGTGGGCCAGATTTGGCCCGCCACATCATCGTATGTGGCCCGCGAAAGTAAATCAAAGATGGCAACTTTCATGATCCTTGCTAAAATCGCTACCAACATTTCAAATTCTCATTTGTCATAAATAAGAGTACTCATGCAAGCATTTTTGCTCATTACAGTAACTTAAACAATAGGTGAATGAACATTCATTCTTGACTTCTTTATATGGTTTCAGTCAGAACAGCGCTGCAAGGAAAAGAGTAAAAAATGAGTTTGACACCCCTGGTTTATATGGTTAACATCTTCCCAACTTTTTCCTTATTTACGGTTTGGAAATTCTGGAGTTGCTCTTATGAGCGAGTAGACGCCCCATATTGACTCCCAACGCTCCCTATTAAGCATGCTTGGGACTGGTATTTAGTTGAGCTGGCTTGAATTTCCGTTATGTCTTATAGTTGAAAATCAGATCGGAAAGTCCCGAATAAAAGTGAATCTGCAGAGAAAATGAAAGTTTCCTGTTAACTTGATGAGCACCTCCACGAGGATGTTTTTATCAATTCATCTGCGTTGGCCGGGATCAAACAAGGCTGTGTGTGTTAATATGTTGTCAATTATCCGCACATGTCTGAGTACAGGGGATGTGTGGGGTAAAGGGTACGGGGTGTTTTTGATCATGACTTAAACCGCGGCCATCTGCCAATATGACAGACAGACAATACCCCCGCCCACAAAATCTGCTCAGGAAAAAGGATTCTTTCGCCGTCGCCGCAGGACACGTTCTTTTCAGAGTGTCACCGTGGCAACAACAGCACGGCCTAGCACACAGGCTGGAGGGCAGCCCCGCTGAGTGGCTGTCAAAGAGCAGTTCCTGTCAGGGAAGGAAGGGGTGCCAGGGGTCGGAACCTCCTCCGGCACTTCTGTCATTGTTTTTGATCGGAAATGAAGAGAAAAACAAACAGGTTGCGCCCACTCATAAACACATACAGACAAAAGTAGTGGGACACCTGGACAGTCCAATGTTGGAAATGGAATCAAATGTGGAGTCTGGCCCAACTTTGGAGCCCAGCAATGTTTGATGGGGTTGAGGTCAGGGCTCTCTGAGTTTCTTCCGCACCCAATTTATCAATGCAAGACGACTTTGTACTGTGGAACAGAAAAGGGCCTTTCCCAAATGAGATCCACAAAGTTGAACTTTAATACACTAATTTTGTCCAAAGACAGTGGTGCCTTGAGATACAAGTGACCCAACTTGTGAGTTTCTCAAGATACAAGCGATCACTGATGATTTTTTTTTGCAAGCCAAAACACGTGATATGAGCACTGTGTGGTGGCAGTGAATTAAATTCAACTCACCTCAAAATAAGCAACAGAATGGCAAAAACATGAGGCAAGCTGTTTAATGCCACTCCCAGTTAAAGTGTACAGTCAAAGTAAACATAAAACAAAGAGATTTACTTTTTGTGAAAAAAAAAAAAACACATGGGTATGCCTTAGCTTAGTTTAATGCTAAAAAGCAATGCAAATGCTTTGACATGCTAATTGTTATCTTTGCTAACTCATTAAGACATCTTGTGAAAAACAAAAAGACTTTTCAAGTTTCTATCGGCACGTTGTCCCGTTGCCCTGCAATTTACCCATGTCAAAAGGAAGTTTTGACAAAGTTGGTCGTGCGGATACCGAACCAATTGTGTTCTCAAGCGTTTGTCCACATTGTGTCGTTTGGAACCACAAAAGGTGAATCAAGCTGTGAAAATCATAATCTTAATGTTTTACATGACAATAATAAGACCGCCCGATAGATTTCTGGTTGACTGTGTAGTCCTGTGACATCATCCTCATCAACAAAATCCATTTATCCATTTCCTCCCACCCCCCACAAAAAAAAAAAAAAAGATGATTCACTTGCTCGTCACGTGGGTAAACATCTGGCATTATTTTCTTTCTCTCTCGCACAGCATCCACTGAGAGTAGAGTATAAGCTCATAATCTTGGCTCGCTGAGAGCGAAAAAGCGCAAGAAAGGCCATGAACACGGACGGGAACATTGCGAGGGACAGGCAACAATTTGTAAACACTGCAGACAGTCAGGCAGTGCCGCTGGCTGGAGTGTAAACAACAGACGCACTTCTTACACACAATGGCTCCACTTCAGCCAGCCGTGACAAGATTGTAGCCCCCTTCATTACAATCCCGCAGACGGGCAGACAGACAGTCCCCCTGGCTCTTTATCTCCAACTCTGTAAACCATCTCTCCACAGTAAACGTCCAACCTAAAGTGAGCGCACACACTGGCGTGCGGCAAAAGCCACTCTTTCGTTTGGCATGCGACTCACATTCGAAAGGGAGTACAACCGTGCGTCCCTAAATCAAACAGTTCCTTCGATGCTGACACATTGGAGGAGTAAATCAAATGTCCCGCTCCTGTTCTCGGGAGCTAAAAATCACACACACACACACACACACACAAACACACACACACACACACACACAAAAATAATAATAATAATCGGCCAAAGAAATGGATTATGTTGGCTGAGCGATAACAAATTGGTCTGGGTCAGCACTCATATGACATAGCAGACAAACCGGATCGCTAGCTAACAGGGAACACAACGTCCCTTCACGCTCTCAAAAATGGACGCGAGATGCACAGCTGTTTCGATGTTGATCATATTCAAGCAGCCATGGTTTGTCCAGCAAAATACAAGATACAAAAGGAAACAAAAAAAAAATGTTGAATATTTGTCCGTGTTACTGGCTGATGTGTGAATCCTGATGGTCTCCAATTAGCATGAAATGCTACTTGCAAATGTAGATGATCATGATGTCATTCCGTTGGGTCGTTTTGTGCGTCTGCTGTCTTTGATCGAAGGTTTTGATGAGTTATTGTCTCATGTGGGGCGGGTGACCCACAGATGGAGCAGTGGTGAAAAACAAGGTCGCCATGCGGGAGTTGGCAACCACTTTAAAATGTGTCATTCCTGCTACCTATGGCACTGGAGTAAAAACACTACTTGCGAGCATGTCATCACTGTTCAATAATCCGATCTCGGCAGTGATCGTTAATACGCTGAAGGCCTAGTTAATGTGCATTGATGAAAATCAAGAGTTAAAATATCAAATGAAACAAAAAATCAGTGCCACATTTTTTGCTAGTCGGAAAGGAAACCACGTTTTCTACATGCAGCGTTTAGAAAAAAAAAAAAGTACATATTTTCTTTACTTTGTATAGCAGTTCATTGAAGCAGATTTTGTGTCCATTCAGCGATGAAGTCACGTGAGCCCGATGTGGACCACAGATGCTGAACAAAGACCTACACGCTAAAAGTGTATCACTTCCTGTGTAGTGGCAGCCAGATGTTGTCACAAAATGACTTTGGCGTGAGTCACAGCGCTTCATCATTCAGCGAGTAGGACCTTTTCCCAAAGTCCGTATGTGTGATTTGCTCAAATATTGGCTGGGCAGGAGACTTTTTTTAAGGCCTTGATTTGAACAAATAGATGCGATGTTGTCTGTTGTCAATTGAAAAGTGTGACTTCCGTGTTGGTAATAAAACATGGACCGGTAACTGCCTCCGCATTAGCGGCACTGTTCATTCGTTATTGTTGGAGTCGCAACCATAGTGTCGGCACTTTTGTGAAATTATGACACCAACATTTCAGAGTGCAAATGAAATAGTCTGGTAAAATATTTTTGGGGATAAAAAAATTAACATAAGACTAATTCTGGCAATACTGTATATGCTACTAGGTATTGCTTAACAGCGTCAAGCTCTGGAAGGGTGAAATGCGATGCTAGCAGGGGTGAGGGGGTCAGGGTTTTGACCCAAGGAACATGCTTTTTTAAAATTAGAATTAAGTGTAATTGCACATCCACTCCAGTAGGTGGCAGGGGGCTCCCACTGTTAGAGTATGTGCAGGGAGTAAGAACAATGTTAATCAAGTTATTCAGCAAATTTGTCATGTGTCATGTCATTTTTGACACAGCTTTATTCTGGACAATGAGGTCGGAGCCTATCGTAGCTGACTTTTGGGCTACATACATCCTAAACTGGTCGCTAGGGCACACATAGAGACAAACAACCACACCGTCAATGAACTTGTAACAGTTGTTATTCACAGATGATATAAAAAAAAAAAATTCGCAAGAGAGAGTTTGGGACGTGTGAAATATTTTTTTCTCCCCTGGGGGAGTAGGGCAGGGGACACTGTTCTATAACCTCGCATAAATTCTCCATCACGTGTCGATCCAAGGGTGAGTCATTTTACTTCATTAATGACAGTGGGCAACTTTTATGGTAGTTAAAATGTTACATAAAATAACGGCGGTACAATTGAAACAGTAAAATGAACAGTTTTACATCCACATTCAACAATCGCATTTGCTTTATTCAATAACCGGTCAATAAACGATATTCTTGAGACATGACGTTGATGAATTTTTGATGACAATTTCCCCGCCAGAGTGACTCTCCGCAAGTCGAATCACCTGAAGCGCCAACTCCCGCGCGCTCCCTGCCAGTGGTCTCCACGCCCGCCTGTGCCTCCTCGCAATAAAGCAGGCGCGGGGGCCCCACTTGAAGCGGTTTTTGTTCACTGTGAAGAATGCTCATCCCCGCTACCCCACACCCACCCCTCACACGCAGTTTTTTTCCCCCCACCTCCCCCTTCCTTTAACCTGCCAATTTGTGATGGCTTCAGCATGCGCTCTAACTTTTATCCAAATGTTTTCATTTAAAGTGAGCGGACAACCATTGAGAGGATGGGATGGAGGGGGGGGCAGGGGGGGGGGGAATCACAAGTTGCCTGAGTGAGGATGAAGCACTCCCTCTTTAAATAATCAAATCCAAAATCTGAGTGTCCCATCCATGTTATTCTTACTTGGCTCACATTTTCATTCATCTCTGAAGAGGCTCAGAAAAGAAATCCAGGAAACGAGTCTCCTTACCTTTCCAAGCTGGCCGAGCCCCGATGAAGCGCTCCCGTGGTAGTCCCTCATTTTGCGTGAGCTGACCCGGCAGAAGGCATCATCCAAGTCTTGCATGGCTCTCCTCACTCCGTCTGCCGCTGTCCCCGGCGTCTCTCGGCAGGCATTCCAAAAGCCTGTCCCGCCGGGGGTTGATGAAAAAGACACAAACAGTAAGGAAAATCCCTCCGTCCGTCCGACCGGAGTGCGGCCTCAGTTGTTGACAGCTTTTTTCATTTTCCTTCCACTTTGTCTCCTATTTCTCTCGGTGGTGATGCCTCCCTCTCTCTCCCTATCTCTTCCCCTCTCTCACTGCTCCTCAAAAGTTTTCCCAGTGCTACGTTTCTCAGGCCACCCCCCTTCTCCCTCTCTCTCTATTTTCCATCATCACCCCCCTACTCCTCAACTCCTCCCACCAAAACCAAAAACCCCCCACTGCTGAACTAATCTGCAGCTGGACAGCGGATTGGAGCAACGGGTTGTCAAGGAAACTAAAGTGTCCTGTTCAAAAAAAAAAAAAAAAAAAGCAGGCATGGAGATCAGGAAGAGGCACAACTACATTCCTAAATAACCTCCTCCTATGGGAGTCAATTCAAAAAGTTGCCCTCCCTATTTCCTACTGATGTTTGTGTTATTTCCTCGGACTGGTCAACGCCAATGACAAGTGTTGATGAATGCTGAGCGGCGGGACACAAAACAGAGCGTGCCGTGAGGAACTGCAGCGGGCGCGGCAAAAATTCCTTGCTGATGAAGCTATTTTAACATTACAAAAAAAAGTAAAAGACATTTGTGCTTGGTAGATTATTGAATTGTTGCGACAATGCGTCTTGGCAACAAATCTTCTAACTTTACAGGGCCTGCTCATTTCCCTTTTGAATGGTATCACATCTGGAAGGAACAAGCATTCGAGGGATGAGCATGTGGGTTCAAACTATCTTGCCGATCTATCTCTGCTATATTTTCACACTTTGAGTTTTTCCTCAGTTGCTTTGGTGCATTTCTAAGATCAGAATTTGCAAAGCAACGAGTGCATTTCTCAAAACAACTCGTGCAAATAGTAAATCATGATGGGTCATCATGTACGGGCAATACCTTGAGCTTCGTCCTGTTGTCAATATCACCGTATACTCTGGCGGGATGTTCAAATGTAAACTGATGCTTAAATTCTGATGACATATTTAGTATTCTAAAATGAAAGTTACTAATGCGTCGCACAAAACCCCCTCATAAGAAAAAGTCAAGATTCGCCTGGGAAAATACAAATCTAATTGAATGTTGAGAAATATGCTTGACTTATTATGGCAAGTTGTCCAACCATTTCGCATGTAACGACGAACTCATGCCAAAATGTTGTGGGGTGTGAGACAATTCAATAATGGACGTTTATTATTTAAAAAAATGTATCATCAAGACATAAGCAATTGATAATGTAATAAATAGCTGTTGTGGGAACAGGGAGAGAAGGAGAGTAAGGAAGGGCTGAAGGGGGTGGGGGGAGGGTGTAACATCTGTTTGGCGTTTATCCCACCTTATTGTGTTGCAGTGTCCTAGACCAGGCCTACAGCTGGGATTCCAGGCGTGCACTGTCCAAGTGAATGACCCATGACTGGGAAGATGGCGGGACCAGGTTCCCATCCCTCCTCGTAGGTTACATGCAAGAGCTCCTGCAAAAGCAAAGGAGACAATACAATCAACATGTGGATCCTGCCTCTTCATTTCCTGTCCTTAATGACCATGAGGCATTTCAGCGCCCTACCAATACTGCTTTTAATAGACCAAAGTCATTTCACAGGGAGTTATCCTCAGGAAAAAGGAGGATTCTCTCAGGAAGTTGTGCTACTTCCACTCATATCCACACCATATGGAACTACAAAGGCTCTGCTCTTTTATGACCAATATACACCTACAATCCCTTGGACCGTAATTGTCCTTTGAAAACACATTTGGACCACCGCAGAGTTATATGTTTCCCGCTAATTGTAATTTATCACCATGAATTTAGGACTTATACACAAGTAAGAAGATTCATTGCTGCCATATGTCTGTGGCAAGCATTCTTCCAACCACAAGGACCAAGAATTATATCTAATACAGCGATACTGCTAATAGGCTACTGCTAATAATACTGCTTACCTTTTTTACTTTGATGTGATTGTGATTCCCCCAGAGCGCCAAAGTGGTTGTTCCGATCTGGAACTTCAGCCGGAGCTAGCTTCCAGTCACCGATGGAGAACTGATTCGGTGGAGGTGGTGACGTTGCATCTCTCACGGTCCCACTTTCTGAGAGAGGTAGATCACTTGAGAATTGTAGTATTATAACTTGTTCAAATAAAGATTCTAAAAAAAAAAAAAAGAGAGAGAGGTAGATCACATTTACTTGAGTGTTTCATTTCGCACGAGACACGATGCCACTCCCGAGAGCCAACTAACAACCTGAATTTGTATACCAACATTACAAAGTTAACATTTCCGTAATATGTCCTCTCCAAGACGAACAAGGAGTGAATCAAAGAATTTACGTTCAAATTACAAACAGCAGACGTAAAAAAATAAAATAAAAAACCCACATGTACAACTGCGCTCCAGACTTTAATTGACTTTCAAGTACCGGTAACTGTCTGCAGGAAGTTTCGAGTATTACGTCGCTATCTGTCGGACAGTTGGCGTCATTGCAATTTTAAGTAGTTTATGTCAACGAGCTTGATGTAAGCAAACCTGTGTGGTTACCTAAGACTAGAGGGCAAAAGCTCGTCTACAGTCCATCCATGGCTTTCATGTGTCGTCACTACTTGCCGGGTTAACCAAATTGGCGATGTCAAATTTTACATAGATTTAAATTTTTACTTTAGCGTGTTCGCATAATTCATATTAATGATTACAAATTGTCTTCAACGATTGAGCAACAATAACATAGCGTATAAACGAATTCGACGATGAAGAAATAAAGATTTTTCTACGTCTTTTAATGGCGGCGCCCCTTTAAGGCTAAACCACGTGATCTTGATGCTATTACGTCACACCCGGGCATACAACCGCTGTCACCGCTTTGGATTCATTGGTGGAGTTCGCCAACTGTGGCGATGGCGATATCAGCAAGATTAACATCAAGTAAACTTTTAACCTGGGACACGCGTGGATAATTACAACACCGCAAGATGCTGCCATTTTGTTTTTCTTGTCGGTCAACGTTCTTATGTATGTCAACGGTAGCTAATGCAGGTAGCCTTGCGCTTACGGTGGAATGACGGCGGCGGTATGGCTAATGTTCTTCTTCTAGTTTGTTATAAATGATGTTAGTTACTCATTGAAAGACATTTTCGCTGTCCCAATAGTGGCACGTTACGTATCATGGCAGTGGCGGTATTAGGAGCGAGAGCGGTTCTTCTCACCCTGAGGTCCACCCTCCAAAGAGCAAGCCTTTCTGGTCGAACCCGACTCATCCAGACGTCTAAGTCGTGTCTGGTCAAGAGGAGGCACGTTCTGACCAACATCCCTAAGGTAGCACTGCTGTGTTGGAGCACAGTCAGTGCATCCTCAGCCAAATGCCAGCAAGCGTCTCTGCCAACCCAAATCACCACCAGGAAGTCTCTTGCCAAGGTTCAAGTGCACAAACTGGTCTTTCTCCTCCGCTTGGGCCTGCGTGCGATAGTGCTGTTCCTGAAGTTCTCTCCCATCTTGCTTCTCTCCCCCTTGGTTCTGGTTTCCGCTCACTGGGCCTCGTGCTGGTTGGACGCCCTGCTGTGGGTAACCGAAAGCTCTGGCCCGGCCTTCATTAAACTCGGGCAGTGGGCCAGCACCAGGCGGGACATCTTCCCTCAGGAGTTTTGCGACCGGTTCTCCAGGCTACACGTAAAGGTGTGTCCTCATTCCTGGGCTCACACCAAGCAGTGTCTCAAGAGAGCTTTCGGGGAGGGCTGGAAGAAAGTACTCGTATTCGAGAGCAAGGAGCCGATAGGCTCGGGGTGCGTGGCGCAGGTTTATCGCGGCTGGGCCAACAAGGATCAGGTGGAGGACCCGGACTTTCAGACACTGGTGGACGAGCTGGAGAGGGAGGATCTTCTGGAAGCTTGGGAAATTCCTGGTTTGAGTGGAGTGCCGAGCTCTCTGTGGAATCTCTGGAATGGAGGAAGCAAGGAAGATGTAGAGGCACTGCATGAGCAGAACACCCCGCAGAAGGATCGCATGATACCTGTGGCCATCAAGGTGAGTCGGCGAGCTCCAAAAGTAACAAAGGACAAAGGCCCATTTCACGCTGAATGTAAAAGCAGGAATTATTATCCAAGGCTTACATGCATAGAAAAGCAACTCCAGACTTTTTGAAGATGGACGTAGCGTGTCAAACGATGCTTTGCCGTTGTACTGAAGGTGCTTCATCCGGGCCTGAGACGGCAGGTGGAGATGGACCTGCTGCTGATGAAGGCCGCGAGCTGCCTTCTGCATTGCCTGCCTGGTCTCAAATGGCTCAGCCTGCCCGAGATCGTCGACGAGTTTGAGAAGCTCATGACCAAACAGGTGTGCAAAATACTGAACACGGAACCCTTGAAACAGATATGCGGGAAGAGCTGATGTCTACTGTCTAGTCTATTTTCAACCGATATGTCATGTATTTTTGTACGAGCCCACCACAACAGTCGAGCTGCGTTTTATTCGTTCAAGATCGACCTCCGTTTCGAAGCCAAGAACATCGAACACTTCCGCGAGAATTTCCGCAACGTGGACTACGTCAAGTTCCCCACGCCGTTACGGCCTTTTGTCACCAGGACGATTCTGGTGGAAACATTTGAGGTGAGTACACGCGCGCGTACGGTAAATATAATCCTTCCACTTTAAAACCGAGTTGTCGTTTTGCGTTCGTCCAGGAGAGCGAGCCCATCTCCGAGTACCTGAGAGCCGAGACTCCTCAGGAGGTGAAGCACAGGATTGCCAGAATGGGAGTCGACACTTTGCTAAAAATGGTGAGCCGGTCTGACTGCTGACACTCAATTCAAGCCACACGACATCATAATAGTAAAGCATGACACCATGATGTCGCGGGAATGTTTTTATGATTAGTGATTGAAAATGAAGTTTCAAATTTGCTTCGCGAAGCAGTCATTATCCTCTTTGTTTTATGTTTAGCTTGACAGTAAACTTCAGCCTGGAGTGTCAAAAAACAGCTTGAAGGCCTGTTTTTTGTAGAGTTGTTAACAATCCGGCAAAGCAACAAAAAAAAAAAAAAAACGGCAAGTTGGTATAGCTGAAAACCCAAAGATCACCGGATCGAATTTTGAGCTTTGCACACGTTTTGAAATTGCACCGTTGTCATTTTTGAACACCACTGTATGAAACACATTCAATTTTTCTCTCGCAGGTTTTTGTGGATAATTTTGTCCACGCCGATCTCCATCCGGGCAACATTTTAGTCCAGCGTTGCGGCCCAGCCGTCGGCTCCTCACACGTCCCCGGAGGAGACAGCGGTAAGACCACCCTGACCGACCTGTGGGACACGGTGGTGGTGAGCGTCAGACCCGAGCCGTGTCCTTTCCAGCTGGTGCTGCTGGACGCCGGCATCGTGGCCCAGCTGAGCGGCCGCGACCTGGACAACTTCAAGGCCGTCTTCACCGCCGTGGTGCTGCGCCAAGTAAGCCAACAGCCGCTCGCCTGAACCGCTTCTTTCCACGTCCTCGTGTTTTCTTAGCTGCTTCTGCTGTCTCCGCAGGGTGAGCGAGTAGCAGAGCTAATCCTCCATCACGCTCGGGCCAATGAGTGCCGAGACGTGCCGCGCTTCAAGAGGGAGATGGCGGAACTGGTGGATGTTGCCCTCAGCAGTACCCTCTCCCTGGGGAAGGTATGTTGTTGTCATCTTTTTTTTTTTTTTGCGTTGTTTGTTTTCTTTTTCTTTTCATGACGCCATTTTAACCTGCTGCGTGTTATAGATCCAAGTGGCTGACTTGCTCTCCAGAGTCTTTGGCCTACTCATCAAACACAAGGTAAAGAATATGATCAAAGCAAACGAACAGTCATATGTATTGACCGAGAGTTTTTGCCATGGCAAGAGGGTCTCGTCACTCGTTTCATGCCAGCCATTTTGAAAAACAGCCAATTTAGAGCATTCCGACTGGTCTTTCGAGGCTCACGGAATGTTGCCTTTGAAATACAGAAAATGCCAAATGAAATATTTCATTCTTCTGTCATCACAGATAAAATGTTTGTTTCGAACGTATTCTTTTTTTTTCTTTTTTTTTTTTTTTTTTGTCATCAGCAGGAGAATATGGGTTGGTTCTCATCCGAGAGCCAACGCTGCCATCTGCCGACTGGTCTTTCGAGGCTCACGGAATGTTGCCTTTTAAATACAGAAAATGCCAAATGAAATATTTCACTCTTCTGTCATCACAGATAAAAACGTTTGCTTCTAGCGTATTTTTTTTTTGTTGTTGTTGTCATCAGCAGTAGAATATGGGTTGGTTCTCATCCGAGAGCAAACGCTGCCATCTGGTGGCCATTTTTTAAACTTTCCCAGTTTAACGATCAAACCAGACTTTTGAAAAAGAAATAAAAAAACATTGATGGCGTCGAGAGCCAACGCTGCCATCTGCTGGCCATTTTTTAAACTTTCCCAGTTTAACGATCAAACCAGACTTTTAAAAAATAAAAAAAAACATTGATTGTGCCTCATTAGGATTCCAGCTGAAATTTTATGTCAACACCCTTTAGTTATTTATTTACGGTATTTAGAATATGGGTTGGTTCTCATCCGAGAGCAAACGCTGCCATCTGGTGGCCATTTTTTAAACTTTCCCAGTTTAACGATCAAACCAGACTTTTGAAAAAGAAATAAAAAAACATTGATGGCGTCTCATTCGGATTCCAGCTGAAATTTTATGTCAACACCCCTTAGTTATTATTTTTATGTATTTATTTTTTAATGAAGCATTTTGTTTTGCATACTTGCAGGTGAAGCTGGAGAGTAACTTTGCCTCCATCGTGTTTGCCATCATGGTGCTGGAAGGCCTTGGCCGCTCTTTGGACCCCAACTTGGACATCTTGGAGCTGGCCAAACCGCTGCTGCTCAAAAACTGTGCCTCATCCTTATAAACACACATATGAGATATGTGTTAATTCATGACATACCTCATTTAAGTTGGATTTGATTGTATGCCTGGTTGGTACTGACTCTCAATTATGGAGGATATTTATGGACGGATTTGCTTCAAGAACAGGAAAAAACCTTTCCCCATATAGTAGCCAGGGTGTATTCAGCGTTCAATCAGCCTGCCATGCATGTTTTTGGAATGTGGGAGGAAACCGGAGTATCTGGAGAAAACCCACAAAGAACATGCAGACGCCACACAGGGAGACTGGAATTGAACGCGGTACCTCTGCACTGTGAGGTCGACGCGGTAACCACTGGTACACCGGGTTGCCAGGTTCAAACAGATTTATACTAATTTGGGCTATTTCCAAAATTGCCCAGCAATTCATGACATACCTCATTTAAGTTGGATTTGATTATATGCCTGGTTGGTACTGACACTCAGTTATGGAGGATATTTATGGACAGATTTGCTTCAAGAACAGAAAAAAAAACATTTTCCCATATAGTAGCTAGGGAGTATTCAGCGTTCAATCAGCCTGCCATACATGTTTTTGGAATGTGGGAGGAAACCGGAGTATCCGGAGAAAACCCACAAAGAACATGCAGACACCGCACAGGGAGACTGGAATTGAACCCGGTACCTCTGCACTGTGAGGTCAACGCGGTAACCACTGGTCCACCGGGTTGCCAGGATCAAACATATTTATACTAATTTGGGCAATTGAAAGGTTTTTCATTCTTCTTTGATCATCAGCTTTACAAATACCACCCCCACTGAAAGCATTTTTTTTTACTTTTTTCTTTCTACATGGGGGAATCATGTTTTTAATGAGTTGTTTACATCACTGTACTGTAATGTGTTCTTGAACATACCATTTTGCATTTCGGTGTACATATGGGAATCCGCACGATGCTACAAGAACCCATTCTTGTCAATAGACGACACTATTGCGATATCACGAAATCCAGTCATTTAGCATTTTATTAAATCTTTCCATGAAAAACACAGACAACAGACGCACTTTTGTCATCAGGAAGAACAGTCAGCATGGCTGAGAAAGAACGTGAATGAAATAAGGAGGTTGTGGGGCAATTAAAAAAAAAAAAGTCACATACTTTTATTGCGAAAGCTTGATTGTGTGTGTGTATGTGTGTGTGTCAAACCACCATAAAGAGCCCAGAGAGAGCAGCGCTGATCAGCTAATGAGGGAGAATAGAGGTGTAAAACAAATCTAATGATAATTCTATTAATTAACAGCAAAAAATCTCTAATAGACAAACACAATCACCTCAGAATAAGATTCTGCCACGGTTACGACAACCAGAGAGAAGCTTTTTTTTTCTTTTTTTTTTGTCCTTTTAATGAATTAAATATTTTTTTTTGAAAAATATCTCACCATTTACTTATATTTTGTTCATTGCAAAAAATAGGCAATTGGACTGGTTGTGATGATTGAGGGGGAGATTTGTGTGTGTGTGTGTCGTTGCAGGGGGGGGTCCATAGGCAGCCACTTTTTATGTTTGGAATGTGTGCGCGTACATGTGTGTGTGTTCCCGTGTCTCATTTTTCTATGTACAAAATGTTCAAATTCCTGAAGGACGACAAGTGCAACCTCCACCGCGAACGTTCACTTTGTCATTGGGGGGTAAGGAGGGAGCTGGAGGGGGGGGGGGGTTGTCACAGCAACACTTGACTCTTCCCTGCCTTCCTTTTCAGCCAACTTGGGAATAGTCAGTGAAAATCGTACCGCCATTCGTCGCATCCATTCACCATGCATGTGTTTTTTTCCCACAGTCATTCCTCACGCTTTTTGCAGTGGCGCCCCCTGGAGGACTGGCGACTATGCGGCCCTCGGAGGAATTTTTGAACTACGTGGGGACCCGCCGAGAGCGTCCTGTGAAGGTCCCCGTTTTGACTGAAGGGTTCAAAGGTCATGGCAGGAGCAGCTCTGGGCAGTTATTTGTCCAAAATAGGGTCCGATTCCATGAGCACTCACTTCGGAAGACAGCCACAAAGTTTTTTTTTTTCTATCCACACGCTTGTCTTTACATTCCGTTAAGGACATCATGGAGGGGCCTCGCCGGGGTGCGTTTCACAAATCACTTGCTGTAGTACCACCAAGGGGGGGTTAGGATGGGGAGGCGGGATGGATTGGGGAGGGGGGTCACGTGTGAGTGGCTACGAGTTGAGCCAAGCGTGGTTGAGGCATTCGCCCGCAGACGCCCGCTTCTCTGGCACCATCTCCAGCATGGGCAGCAGGAATTGGGTGAAGTGGGCGGCGTCTTCGTGAGCCCAGCCGTACTTCTCCACCAGTACGTCGAAAAGAGACCACGGCTTCAGCTTGGTGATGTGCCGAAGTTCGCCTGTGGGGAGGGGTGAGCGGCCATTAAGATGGTCCGATTGAAAAACGACCAAGGAGTATTAGGGCCACGTTGAAAAGAAAACAAAAAGGCTCAAAAGTCAAAAAGTTTTGTTTTTTGAGAAATAAAATCATTTATTTGAGAATTATAAAGTAACTCAATTTTGGGAGATTTTTTTCTTGAGTTTTTTTTTTTTTTTTTAATTTAGGAAGACAAAAAAGTATTTGAGATAGAAAAAATAAAATTATAATCTTATGAGAAAAAGAAAAAAGTCACCCAAAAAAATAAAGTTGCAGTTTTTTCAATAAATTTTGTTTAGTGGGGATGGGGATTGGACAGAAGAAAAATAAATATCAAAATAACCAAAATATGATGAACTAAATAAAAGTATTCTTTGAAAAAAAATGTAACCCAGAGTTCTGTTTGAAAAGTGATATTTCATTTTGGTTAAAAAATAAAGTCCAGTAATTACGGGAAAAAAAAGGCATTTTGGGAACCGAAGACATATCAAAGTCGTGTTTTTTTCTTGTCAGAAAAATGTCTAATTCAATGAGAATAAAATTGAAATCATGAGATAAAAGAATAATTTTGGAGTCTGATTTTTATTTTATATGACTTTAACGTTTTACCAGTACAACAGTTCCCCGAAATATCTCAAAAGAGATGTGACATTATTCTCCAAATATTGCCAGTTTGGTTTGGAAAAATATACAACTTTATTCTCGTAAGATTCCAATTTTTTTTCCCCTCTGAAATCATATCTTGACTTTTGTAAGATTTGAATTTTGTTCTTGTTCAAAAATGATCTTTTTTTTTCTTTTCAACGTAGCCCTTTTATTGACTATGCCATAAAAATAGAAAAAAAAAATAAGAATCTTGATATTAAAAAAAAAAAAAAAACCCTCATGTTCTCTTACTTCCAACAAGGCCTGCTGATTTGCCTTGGAAACCCTTTGAGGGAGAGCGGCGACTACAGTGGACAGCTTATCATGTTGTGGGTGCATGAAAGGGTTAACAGCTGAAAATTGGCTTCTTTAGATACAACACAATTGAAACGACTACTTGATTGATTTGCAGACCTGCACAGGCAGTAAGAGAGCCATGTCCACCCCCATGCCCTCTTCCTATTGGTTATTCACACTGACACAATCATGCGGGAGGTTTGACCGATTGGTTGCGTGCAGCAACAACCAATCAGTGCAGCCACGGTAACGTCGGTGAGGGGGCGGAGGGGGTAGTTTTGGAGCGCAAATGTCGGAAAAAGAAAAAAGCACCGGGAGGGTATGATTAAATAGGACTGGAAAAAAAAAAAGGATTTTCTTCATTATTTTAAAAATCGACTGTTGTGTTTGTAATGCTTTCATGCTACCGTAGATTTTTAATTTTTTTTTTAAACTAACAAACACATAATACAGTGGTATATTTATTTGGAATAATTTTAATTGTATTATACTCCTCATTATATTTTAACTATTTTTTTAAATCGCATTTTATATATCTATACATATAAAATTAAAAAAACATTTTTAAAAATTATATAAAATTAAACAAATTTAAAAATGAGAAATCATGTCATATATATATATATATATATATACATATATATATGAAACATGTTTTTTTTTTCTTCAATTGAGTTGGATTATATGTAGTTCAGTTCAATATGGTACGGCTCAGAGGGTATAATTTAATGAGTATCTTGTTCCCGTTTTCCGTCGATATATGAATGAACTTGCCGATACAGTCAATGTGGCATGTCCTTCAAAGATCTACTACCTCTTCCAATTAAAGACAATCATGTCTTTGCGCCTCGGCCCGGTGAGCCCAGGCGTGCATTTACCTTTTTTGGAGAAAAACTCTCTGCTGTACCTCCCGGCAGCGTACACTTTGCGTGGGACCTTCCCCAGGAGCTCCGAGATCAGAGCGATGTGGTCTGCATGCCCACCACCACCACCACCACCACATAGAGGGAACAGGCAACATTACAGCATGCAAACACACACACGCGCACAAACGAGACTGACACACACTTCCGCCTGGGACGACGCCACATGGGTCACTTTGGACTCCGTGTGTGTGTGCGCGTGCGTGTGGGTATGTGGCGTCCGCGTGTGTCAATCCCGCCGGCTCTATGGCCAGCGCTACCTCTTCTGTTGAAGAACTCGCGGGAATATTTTCCAGAGAGCGCAAAGTGCCTTGGGATACAGCCCAGTAGCTCTATGATGTGGGCTATGTGGTCTAAAATGGAGAGAAGGACGTGTGTGTCGGGTGAGGTGGGGTCGAGTGTAACAAGACAGGGGGATGATTGGTGGGAAATGGTGGGAAAGAGGGAGAGAGTCACACACAGTAAAGGAGAGAAAACAGTTGTTAGTCACGAACGGCAATTCGTCTTTTCAGGGGATCACTTGGCAATATCAAAGTGACGATTTTGCCCTCGCTGTGTTGCCACGTCGATCTAATCTGCCCACAGCCTGCAGAATCCGTATCGCTGAGACCCGCGTCTTCAACTATATTATGCGGCAAGCTTACATCAGACGATTGTGAATCCCCAAAATGTTATGCAGGTTAGAATACGACCGCAGAAAAAAAACCTTACCGTAAATACTCCAAAAATTGAGCAGGATAAAATATGGCGATCTTCAATTTGAAGCAAATTCGCAGGTCAAAGTTATGATTTTGGAAAAAGCCCATCAAAGTAGTTCGGGTGAACACATAACCTCCATAAAATCCACAAAAGTTGCAAAGCTTAACATTAGAATTACACGAAAAAAACAAAAACAAAGTTGCTCATGTTCAAATAAGACGAACATGAGTTGGGCAGCAGAATTTAAATCAATACAACAAAACCCCCAAAAATGGCGCAGCTAAAATAACACTGTACACTTCCCAAAAAGTCCTGCAAATAAGACAACCATAAATCCCCGAAAAGTTGTGCATGTTACAAAAAAAAAAAACCTCTCAAAGTTTTGCAAGTAGTGACAAACTACGGGTAAAAAAATAAAATAAATAAATTAAAAGCTGCAAAGGAAAAAATAAAACCACCCTAAAATCCACCAAACTGCACAACAAAAAAAAAAGTGGGCAGGTTAAAATTACACTTCTATGAAATGCACGACATGTGTCCAGTTAAATCTAAGATGCGCAGATGAAAAGGAGACTCCAAAGTCCCCCAAAAGTGGTGTAGGTAAAACCACCACAAATGCCTGTGAAGTTGTGCGTTCAAAAATGAAAAAACATCAAATCACATTAACTTGTGCAAGTTTAAAATAAAATAATAATAACATTTTTTTTAAAACAGCAAAATTCCAATTTTGAGCCGGTTAAAATGAAACGACGGTAAATCCCGCAAAAGTCGAGCCCTCAATCCCGAATCCAGAATGAGGACCTCTGATCTAGCTTTTCATCCCCCATCAAAGGTCCGACCAGTGCGTGTGACCGTCATTACTTTCCAGAGCAGGAGGGGAAAAAAAGAGTGAAGGTAAAGACATCAGAATTGAAGGACAGCATTTACAATAGTGTACAGATGGCAAGTGGGTTTTCGAGGACGAGGTGGGGGCGGGGGCCGACTTTACACTCATTTATTCTTTTATTGTACTTTGTAACACAGTGGAACCGGCAAAAATCGAAACAAGACATCAACACCTCAAGTCGTTGAAACCAGTGGTCTCCAACCCCTGGGACACAGAACTTACATTATTTCTGTTTTTCTTCATTTCTGAATTTGAAAGATATTTTATTTTGAAAAAATACCAGATTCTCTGTTACATCCGCCTACAGTATGTCACTCTTGACTCAGGTAAAGGCGCGCTTCTTGGTCACGTGATATATTACCGCTAAAATGAAACCCAGGAGCTGGCAAAATTAGAAAAAAAAACAAACGTCTTTGGGAACGGGGAAAGGCCCAGCCAGGAGACAGAAGAGGAGCCTACAACTTTCACGAAAAAGGCTACATTTAATAGACAGTATCAGGAGTCCTACTTCAAATACGGATTTATCTCAACGGGAGATTGCCACGCAACAAGTTACTCTGCGTAATATGCGGCGAAAGTGAGTCGGATTTTTCATGCACTTTTTAGTTGTAGTGTATTTTATTTTGAAGGCATGTTTCAATGTTACCATAGCGACCACAGAGTGTTGCGGCCAGATAGGACGTTCCTCGTGTCATGATTCATGTTTATTATTATGTTTCGAAAATACCACATTTTTCATGCGGGTCATATCATATCATTTTGTTGTATTGATCCGGCCGTTGTATTTATCAGTCCGTGGGGCAAAAAAGGTTGTGCACCGCTGGTTTAAACGACCTTCACTGAGGCAAGCGCATGTTTGCCATCGGAAAAATCTCCCGGCACACCGGCAAACAAAAAGATAAAAAGATCATCAAAGAGCAAATACTGGAATAACGATCATCGCCTCTCAGTTTCATTACAATTGTACTTCGTGTGAAATCTGAGCCTGTGGAAGAGGATTTCAATTGCGCTACCTGTCACTATAGGTCGCTGGCATAGATAGGGGAACATTTTTATTTTATTTGTATTTTTTTTTTTTTTTTTTTTTTTAGCACAATGCCTTCAACACACAGTGGTCGCGCTGCGTTAATCCTCACCCTCGTCCCTCGAGTAGTCCTCGCCCGAATGGGGCTCAAACAGGTAGTCGCCCGTGGCCAGTTCAAAGGCCTGCGAGACAAAAAGAGGCGGCGCCGTCGTTACACGGCACACGTGCACCGTACATGGAGTCGGGTGCGTCGCGTCGGATTTACCATGCAGGCGGTGCTCCAGATGTCGGCAGGAGTGCTGTAACCAGCTCCTATCAGCACTTCGATGGAGCGGTACTGTCTGGTCTGGATGTCCTCGGTAAAGTGCTTGTGCTGCAATGCAGGAGTGGATGGATTTTAATATACGATGATGTTTTCACCGTTTTTTTTTTTTAACCCTTTCAGGGACAGTGGTTACTTCAGTGGACAGTTTATTGTGTTATCAGGTGATGGGTTGTCATTATTTGTCCATGAAAGGGTGAAGATGAACTGCAATGTTAGAATCGCCCATTCAAAAAAAAAAAAAAAAACGTTGGACTTGTTTTTACTATTATTGGTCATTTTTTGAATGACATTTTTTTTCCCCAACAACTCACATCCTAACAATTTTATACAAAATACTACTCAGTCTTTACATCGTTACTATCGCCATAGAACCGCGCGATTTCCTGCAGGCAATCAATATTATATATGTATATTTTTATGCTGATTGTAATAATCAAAAAGTATTTTTATTTATTACTCATGAAATCGTCATCAAAACTTCACCATTAAAATGTGTTTTCCAAGCATTTCAATGAGTGCTCTTGAAATGAGCGCTGTTCTAATAATTGAAATGAATGAGAAAAACTCGGATTTAATTATTATTATTTTTTTTAACCGGAAAAAAATGTAATAAAATAGGCGTAATTTTTTTTGTGCTGCCTTCAATGAATTCATTCAATGAGATTTTCAGTCCTTTGAAGTCAAGTTTGGATCTTACCACCCAGCAGGCATTTCCAAGGTCAGCTATTTTCACCCGGATAGATTCAGCGTTGCGGGGGTCAAGTGGGTTGATCAGGAGGTCTGCAGCTCGGGCTCGGGCTGCCAGTGCACAGAGTGGATCGGATGTGAAACAAAACAGTTGTCGTGGCATGTTGATACGTTTTGGTGAGACGCAACAGTGCTTCATTTGTTACACATTTTCTTGTTGCCATCTTACTTCAAAATGAAATTAATTTTTTTTTTTAAATCCTCAAATTTCATGCACGAAACATACCTTTGGGCGTTTCCCCCGTGCTGGATGACGATACGGTGCGGCTGCGGTCCAGCGCGGGGCTGTCGGGGGACTTCCCCGCACCGGTGTCGCCCGTGCCCCCGCACACGGGACTTCCCGGGTCCGGGTCCAGAGGCAAGTCGGGAAACAGCGCCACGGCGGCCCTCAGGCGCTCGCCCTCGCCGTTGATGAGTCCCGGCTCGCCAGCCTCACCGTTGAACATCTCGTAGCCGGAGCTGAGCGAGAGATCCCTGTCGGTGTAGCTGAGCTCAGACTCCACCAAGGGGCAGAGGAGAGGCTCGGGCGTGGTGGGCAGCTGCGTCTCGGGCCCCTCCGAGATCAGCAAGACGTGGCCGTTGGTCTTGGCCACGTCGGTTTGATTGGCGTGCGTCTTGACGGGGGAGCTGTTGTCTGTGAGGAGGTCGGCGGTGGTGTCGTCGTCCTCCTCCGCTTCCTCATCATCCTCCTCCTCTTCCTTGGCTTCTTCTCTCTCCTCCGTCTCCTTTCCCTCAAGCTCATTTTCTTTCTCCTCCTCATTGACTCTCTCTACCTCCTTCTCCAGCACCAGCCCTTTTGGTGCATCTTCTTTCTCCTTCTCCTCCTCCTGCTCCTGCTCCTCCGTCTGTGTCAAATCTCCGTTACCGGGAGGGATGGGGGCGTCTTTCTCAGCCACGGGCGTAAGATCCTCTTCCTCTGCGTCTTTGTCGCAGTCGTCATCGATGATGCGGAGGGCATCCTTCTTCTCCTTCTCCTGCTCCTCCTCCTCCTCCTCCTCCTCTCCAGCCTCCTCGTTGTGCGCTGCGCCTGAAAAAGTGCAATGTAACGTCACTCATAACCCAGTGGCGGATTTGGAGATGTGTGATGTGACCAATAACCTGTAAAACTCAATTGAAAAAAAAAATCAAAGTAGGTGTGTTATTACTTTGGCTAATGCTAAATGCTAGACAGTTCAACACTGTAAACAATTCAATGCACTCACATTATCCCGCCTTTTTTTTTTTTTTTTGCAGCTATTGGAAGCTTTACGTTTAACTTGTAAAGATATTGTCCCACATTGTAGCGTTTGAAACGTGCCGCCAGAAAAGCTTGGCACGCATTCGATCTGGCCACAGCATTATTAGCCTTTAAAGGACTACATTTCCCATGATTCTTGCTCACAGAAGCAGGACATCCTTCTACTTCCGGTATGGCAAAAACAGACGCCCTCTTGCAATTAAATGCGGGTGAGAGCGAGAATGTGAATAGGATGCAATTTGAATAAAAGAAGGTTAACTGACAAGCCAACATTCATCCATATGTAAGGTGCACCGCATTACAAGGTGCAGTCGTTTTTTGAGAAAATTAAAGGACTTTAAGTTGAAAAATACTGTCACAACAGTATGAATAGATTGAGTTGATGTTGCGGGGGGAGAGCTTTGGGTGAAGAAACAGGAAGTGACGTATGTGATACGAGACTGAGTTACGTACTGTACTTGTACGTAAACGGTTATGGCAATAAAAGTCAAATAAGCAAGATGTTTTCCCCATCCACTCTGTATGGTCAGTGAGAACGGAACAGAGTGAAACAAATACGGCAACTGACGAGATGCGTCCACGCCCTCCTATAACTGGGGGATGTGTGCATGTTTGGAATGAATCAATTAAACTCACACGTCTAAAGGGATAAAGTGTAAACCAAAACATCATCAGGTTTTGCGAAAATAATTTTCTCACAGGTACGTGCAAAATGTGTGCTTGGGTTGCCTTTGCGTCATTTTGTCAAAAATAATCATAACTAGTACATGGGGTTCATTTTCAATGCCAAAATTTCAGTGCCACCAATCCAAGCAGCAGAAACGTCGATGACGCTCACATGTGTGATTGGTCAACCTGGTGGGCCTCTCCCCACCTTCCTCCTCCTCCTCTTCCCCATCCTCATCCTCATCGTCATCGTCATCGCTCTCTCCGAGGGCCATGCTGGGGCCCGGCGGCATCAGTTGAGGCGCCGAGGTCGGCGTGGACGTCCGCTCCGGCGGCGGCCGCTCCGGCGCGTCCTCTTCGTTGGGCCCTTCCTCCTCTTCCTCTTCCTCTTCCTCATCACCCTCGTCGTTGGCTCGCTCCTCCTTCTTCTCGGCTTCCCTCTCCAGGGCTTCGATCTCCAGCATCCTCTTCTCCAGCAGCTCGGCCTGACGCTTCTGCTTCTTCTTCAGTTTCTTCTTTTTGTTCTTGGAGATCTTGCCCGCCTGGGAGCAAAGTCGGAAACTCATTAAACTGCAGGCTAGAAATGTGTTTCCGAGTAAACTCGATCGGCATGTCAATTGTGTGTGTGTGTCTGTGTGTGTGTCTGTGTATGTGTGTGTGTCCTCTCATGTCATACTCACATCAGTCGTACTCACCGGTTTGAGCTGCGGGGCTGTGCTAACTGACACACACACAAGGAGAAACTGTCATCAGACACGTTCAAAACCCCGAGTCACAACAAGCAAAAGTCGCTCTAAGACATCATTCAGGGCTGCCCAAGGCTCTCACATGCACGACGGAAAAAAATTGTTTGCTCAGGCGTGACAAACTCTCAATCACACCATTGAAACCCACATTTCAATGGAATCCAAACAGATTTCAGGATGATGTGCAGAAGGCTTTCAGTCGCATGTGTGAATTTCTTTCACCGGTGTGTGTGTGTGTGTGTGTGTGTGTGTGTGTGTGTGACGTGTGTGTGTGTGT